CGCCCGCCGCCCGCCCAGGCACTGCCCGCGGAGCCGCCGCCGCCGCGTCCGCCATGGACGTCCGCCTGTACCCCTCGGCGCCCCCGGTGGGCGCGCGGCCCGGGGCCGAGCCGGCCGGCCTGGCGCACCTGGACTACTACCACTGCGGCAAGGTAGGGCGGTGGGGGCAGCGGGGGGCGGCCCGCGCCTTCGGACCCAGCCGAAGCCCGAGCGCCCCGGGCTGGAGCCCGGGCTGGAGTCACCTGGCGGCGTCCTCTCGGGGACACGCGCGGGGGAGGGGGGTGCCGGCGTCGCCCACGCGCGGAGAGGCGCACACCGCAGCCCCGCCGACGGGCACACGCCGCTCGCACGGATCCCTGCGGTGACACTCACGCCCCGAGTTGCTCTCATCACAGGCAGAAGTCACTCCGACAGGCGCTCACGCGACGACAGGGACACTCGCGCGTACCCAGGCCCCCCGACAGCCTCCATTCATTCACCAGCGGACCCGCGGTCACACCGACAGCCACGCACCCGCCTGCAGCCTCGCCGTCCCGCCCGAGCCACCCTGGCAGTCACGCACAGTGACACGCGCCCCTCGCCCACACGCACACACGGTCACACCGCCGCGCACAAGTCACCCGCACGCCACACACCTTGCTCCACGCCCGCCCGCCCGCGGTCACGCCCAGCCACAACGGGGGACGGGCACACAAAGAAGGCGCTCCGACAGCCAAACGCTCGCACTCCCGACGACTCCCACGGGCACACGCCGCCACGCACAGCCGCCCAGGGACGGTGACCCTCGGGCACACTGACCGCCCTGACGGCCACGGCCACACGCGGTCACGCAGGGTCAGCCGCAGCCGCAGCCCCGCGCCGCCCCTCCCCCACCGGGTCAGCCACCCTCGCGCGTCGGGGTCCAACTTCTCGGGCTTCGCGGCGCACTAATTGGGCCGCTGACTAATTGGCTGTTCCTGCCCGGCGGGCCGCGGATTCCGAGTTTGCAATGGCCAATCCAGGCCTGCTCCCTCCCTGAGCGGTGCACGGCGCGTCCCTCCAGGCCGGGGCTGCCGTGAGGGGGGGCCGCCCTCCCCTCCCGAGACCGGCTCCCCCACTACTCCCAAACCCCGGCCAGATCCCGCGGCGAAGAGAGTTAGAAGCTCCAGACAGGAGGATCCACTCGCGCTCCCCCACGCCCCGCAGCCCGGGTCCGTTAGGTGCACCTGCGCCCTCTGCGTCTCTTCCTCGCCCGGGAGGAAACTTTAAAACTTAGTTAGGAGCGAGACTGTCCATGCGTCCGCGAGGTCGGTGCATCTGTCCGGGGCCGGCTGGAGCCGAGCGCGGCTCTTCGTCACTCGGAGCCCGGATTGAACGGCGCGCGTGGGTTTCCCCGCGGCCGTGGCGCAGATGCGCGGGCTCGGTGGCGCTGCTCGGTGAGTGGTGAGTGCGCGTCGGGCGGTGGGATCGCGGCCCTCCCAGGGTCTTAGCCCCACCCCACCCCCTGGCTTTTCCTCCGGCCCCTGGCTGTGGGGGTGCTGTGGCACGCGGGGCTCCCGCGGCCGGGCCTCTGAGTGCGTCCCGAGGCCCTGGGGAGCGGCCGGAGGAGCCCTGGCGAAGCCCTCCGCAGTTTGCCCCTGGCGGGGCGTGGGGTTGGGGCCATAGGGCCTGGGGCGGCCGGAGGGTGGGGGTGGGCGGCTAGTGAGGGCTCTCCAGGATGGCGGTGATTATCTTTTGTCCCGTGACCGGCAAAGTTGGAAGCCGAAGAGGGGGATGGTGTGTGTCCTGAGGAGAAGGCTGGTTCTCTGGCTGTTTCCAATCTGATGGAGGAAAAATTGATTTAAAGTAGCAAGTGGAGTCTTCAGGGAGGAGAAGACAGTTAGGTGTGGGGGCAGCTGGTCTGTCTTCTGCCCTTGGTTTTGTTATTTTTTAAAATATGAAGTTGGCAAGGCTCCAGCCTCTGGTTTGGGGATACGTCTGGGGATTGGGAATTTGTGCCTCAGAGTCTCGGTAGGTGGGTGTCCCTCGTCCCGGGAGTCCTCCTTGGGGGGCTGGTGTTTCTGTAAACCTCTCTAGAGCAGGGCAGTCCCGTGTGGGAGCCTCTGGGAGGCGGCACTCAGCCAAGGGCCCTGCTCTATCCTGATGCTCTGTAAAGCTCTGACTCAGCACCATGCGTGTGAAAACCCTGGCCGGGAGGGAAAGGCACAGGGAATGAGAAACTGGTGATTCCGGCTTCTGTCTGTGGTCTAGGACCCGCACCTGTCCCAGGGCTGAGGGTGTGTCCAGGTGGAGGAGGGTGGCCAGCTGAGCCAGGAGGATGGGCGAAAGAAAGGTCTGGCCTTGCACTTGGATGTGCGGCACGCTTCTCGGTCCTTCAGGCTTGTGGCATGGAAGGCATGGCAAGTCACTTGGCTCAGCTAGGGGTGGGTCAGAGGCCTGTTAGAAGCAGATCCCAAGTGGACAGGGGCCTTCCGTAGTGGTGGTTGGGGGATGGGGCATTATGACCAGAAGCTGATGGGGAGGGATTGGGGAGGGAAATGCCCAGGCTCCATCCTTCAGCTGGTCACTGTCAGAACCGGAGGAGAAACCAAAGTGCAGCCGTGGTCACACTTAGGGCCCGTAGATGGGGCTGCAGAACCAGGACATGGGCCGCACACTGGGGCTGGGTCCTTGGTGTCCAGACAATAGGCTTGTCCCCCAGAGACCCAGGCCTGAGAAATACAAGGGCAAGCATTTGCCCAAGTGATACCGGACAATCACTGTGCAGTTGACCTGGAAGGGCCCTTGGCGACTGTTCCCTTGGTGACTGTCCCCTTAGCGATCTTCTACACAGAGGTTCCAGCCTCTTTAAACCAAAGTCACGAGCAGTGGCTGTTCTTTTGGTATCTCTTGTCTGAGAAAATACACAATGGCAAAACGCTGCTATGGTTTTATTTTTGCTTTAGATGTGTATTTTATTAATCAATAATATTAGCATGCATTTAAAAAAATAGCTTACCAAGATGTGAGGCAGGCACATTACTTATTGCATATAATAACAGTGCTTGGTGAGCAGAGGTGCTTGTGGTCCTGTGGCCCCTAGGATCTGGGGCACCATTCTGGGAACCATGGATCCCCTCCTTCCTGGCTTCACAGAAGGGGAAACTGAGTCATGGAGTAGTGTACTCAGAGGTTACAAGGCAAGAAGAGAACAGAGCTGAGGCCTGAACGCAGGTTTCTTGCCTCTCAGCTTGCCACTCATCTGGCCTCCCCACAAGCCTCTGTTGTGGTTGGGGGATTCGGGGGCTGTGACAGGCTTCCTAGGGTAACTGTGAATACTCTTCATTCAGATTTTGGCAGGGCACTTCACCACACTGGGCATTGTCTGAGGCTCCCTGCTCCACTAGGGCAGACGTATGTAAGCTGGCCATTGGTTTGGGCAAACCTGGGTTCAAATCTCCATTGTGTCTTTGTGACCGAGGGCAAATGGTTTCTTAGCTCATTTTTTGTTGGGATATGATTTACATACTATAAAATGCAAATGTTAAGTGGACAGTGGTTTTGATGGCAACCACCATCCCATTCCAGATATACTAGTAGAAGCATTTCCATCACTCCAGAAAGTTCCCTCATACTCCTTTCTAGTCTACACCCCTTACCCCTCCTCTAGAAGAAACTGCATATCTGATTTCTATTATCAAGCTTTGTTCAAGTTCAGTTTAAGTGTACAAAGTATATTTAAGTTTTAGAACTTCATAGGCAGCATATATATTTTTGTCTGGCTTCTTTTTGCTCAACACAGTGTCGTTAAGATTCATTGTATTGTGTATATCCATAGTTTGTTCCATTTTATGGCTAAGTTATATTACATTGTATGATGTAGCACAATTGCATTATCTATTCACCTGATGATAGATATTGGGTTTGTTTCCAGACTGAGCTATTATAAATAAAGCTGCAGTGAACATTCTTATAAAAGTATTTTTGTGGGTGGGACAAATAATTTAATATCTCTGAGCTTCGTTGTTCTCCCAAAGACAACATTGACTGCCTCAGAGGTTTGGGAGGGTTAAATGAGGATGTAGGCTAGGATAGTCCTTGGTACATGCCAGCTATGAATTACATAATGATGGTACCAACCACCTGGAACCTATCCTGGTAAGAGGCTTAGCATCTCTGTGTTTTAAGCATCTTTCATCACTGGTCCAAACATCCTTCAAGGCCAACCTGGGTATGACTTTTTCCATGCAGTGCTCCATGGCCAACCACCTTCTTTCTTCCTCCATGCTACCCCCAAACTGGTACTGCATGGGATTCAGCATGTTCTGCCATCCATCAATAGATCAACAGTTATTGAGCATCTCTTTGTGCTAGGCACTGTGCTGGGCAATCGATGCTATAGCATTGAACAAATATAACTCAGATCGCTGCCCCCTGGAGCTGATAAATAGTATGGAAGTCATAAGCATATGGGTGAAATGTGTGGTGTTGTGACCAATGGCAATACAGTTATGGAGAAAATGAAGCCAGGAAGAGGGTTAGGGGTGCCAAGGCCAGGTGCTGGTTTGCAAGTAGGGAGGTTGGGGAAAGCCTTGTGGTCTCAACCAGTGGTTCTCAGATTTCTGTACACGTTAAGAATCACCTGGCCCTGGCTGGTGTGACTCAGTTGGTTGGACATCATCCTGTGCACCAAAAAGTTGCCGATTCGATTTCTAGTCAGGGCACGTGCCCAGGTTGCTGGCTTGATCCCTGGTAGGGGGTGTGCAGGAAGCAGCTGATCGATGTTTCTCTTTCACATCGATATTCCTCTCTCTCTCTCTCTCTCTCTCTCTCTCTCAAAGATTAAAAAAAAATCATCTGGCAAGATTTTAAAAACAGATTTCTGGGCTCCCCACCAGAGATTCTGATTCAGTGGGGCTGGGGTCCTGAGAACTTGCATGTTTAATGAGCTCCCAGGTGAGGCTGCTGCTGGTCCAGCAACCACACTGTAGGTAGTAATGGTTTGGTTGTTTGTGGGCTCCCAGCAGGCAGGAACCATGCCCAGCACCTGGCACAGTGCCTGGCCCATAATTATTCAGGAAATATGTGCTGGTGCGTGAATGAGTCAACTCTTCACCCACCCACACAGCTCTGGAAACAGCATCTTGTACCTGGATTGGATCTACACAAGTTTGGTTATGAATGATGGGCGTCT